GGAGCATTCAGTAGGTGCCTGTCCCTAGGGTAATCACCTAATCTGTCCTCCCACTCTTTCCTCCAGCCCCTTGAAGCCTCTCACCCAGGGAGAGGTAGGTGAGGTGGGCAGAATAATACACAAGGTCAGGCTGCCAGCAGCCTCAAGTCTAGTCCTCAAACTTAATGGGTCTCAGGACTCGGTCAACACTGTGTCTATACATTTTACTAACCTGCACCATCAACATTAACTTTGCACACAATGTCACCAAACATACTATATGAAATGTTGAAATACAAGATTTCTTTGCATGGACACCGAAACTCTGCTCACTTCCTGCACTCGAACTGCCTAATGTACTTTACACACCATTAACTTGATGAACATGAACGTCAGGATGCACGTTACCTCTGGACCAGAGGGAAAAAGATGACAATCAGAAAGGCCATTCAGAGGGCTTCTCAGAACCTAGCAAAATTCTGTTTAAAGCAAGGTGGTGGGCACAAGCAAATTTGTTCTCTGTTCATTCTTTAGATTTTCCACAGAATTATGTATACCCCTTACAGATACATCTTTAAAAACCATTGTTCTAAATAAAATGAATGAAATGCTGTTTTTCTCAACTTCTAAAAACCATAACTAACATTTAAGTGCTTACCATCTGCCATGCACTCTTGAGCATTTTACATGTTTTCAAGCTTACTCCTCCAAACAACTCTTGGTGTGAACTACAAGCATGCTTTTCACAGATGGGGACACTGAGGCACAGAGCAGGTCCTTGTCCATAGTCACACGCCCAGCGTGAAGCCATATTCAGACTCCTTGCTCGCAACCCTTTCCAGGTAGTCCCAGTTAGTAAAGTGTGTGAGTGATGCTGATACTCTGTGTCACCCAGGGACTGAGGTAGAGGGGCCCTGAATGGCAGGACCTCCCTGGGAAGCACTTGGTGATCACCACCATATTGTACCTTAGGCTCTTGCCCTTATGGTCCAGCACATCTCTCTACACCAGTGGTTCTCAACTGGTGGGTCGCGACCCATTTGGGGGTCTAACGACCCTTTCTCAGGGGTCGCTTATCACCATCGCAAAACACATTTCCGATAGTCTTAGGAACCGAGACACCGCTCCTCTGTCCGTCTCCAGGCAGGCCCACCCACATGCAGATAGACCCACATACAACATGAGGAACTGTATCAAAGGGCCGCAGCATTAGGAAGGTTGAGAACCACTGCTCTACCCAGAATCTAGCCAAAACAGTCAGAAACTCAGAATGAGAGTTATATTTAGAAAACACTCATTACAGAGTGACTCCTAACAACTGGAAATGGCCTATGCAAATGACTCCTAACAACTGGAAACGGCCTACATAAATGTAAATGTCCACCAGTAGATCAATGGCTACTCTGGTTCACCCAGAGAGAGGAGTACTAGGCAGCGTGGAGTGTGAAGAAATGCCCATGCAAAAATGTGACGTGAAAACAGCAGGAGACAAACTGTCAGGTATACAACAGAGGCCTCCCAAATTGGTTAAAAGACAAAAAGGAAACAGTGATGACCTCTGGGTGAAGAAGAGACAGACCATCCAGTTGGTTCCCTATAACTACTGAGAGCTGCAAAGGACAAAGTGAGACGTGGGCAGGAACAGCAGGGGAGCTCCCTGGGGGCAGGCACCTCTGAAGGACCATATCACTGCCCACCCACCTGGACACATGAGCAATACCACAAGGGGCCCAAGACCTTTTAAATCCCAGGTTCATCAGTTCCTACTTTCAGGAAAGACTCAGCTGTATAAGCAGTATTTGCTAATGAGCAGGTGAATAAACTAGTATTTTTAGACAAAGATCCTATGTGAGGCTCAGAAATCATTAACTACCAGTGGGGGCCTGGCATGGAAATCCTACTTCCACTTTCCAATCCAGTCATCCTGGCGCTCCATCAGAAATAACACCAGCACTCCAAAGATAATTAATCCAATCATATACTTTAAGATTCCACGTGTTAAAAGTTTTACTCAGTGAAATCTATTTATTGGTCAGAATACAATTTGGAAAGTTGCGTGCTTTTGTTTTTTGTTAATCCTCTCCCGAGGATATGTTTTTATTGATTTTTTAGAGAGAGTGGCAGGGGAAGAGAGAGAAAGAAACAGAGGAACACTGATGTGAGAAACATCTATACATTGACTCCAGCAGGCGCCCCAACCAAGGATCGAACCCACACCTAGGAATGTGCCTTGACCGAAATCAAACCCACTGGTGTATGGAGTGACACTCGGATCAACTGAGCTACATGGCCAGGACAGTCATTTGCCTTCAGTGTTGGTAAAATAAACAATTTAACATATTAAAGTTGACAACTAAAAGAACTGTTTTGTCCATCCGGTGTGGTTCACTGGAACTATGCAAATCTGTCCTCATGTAAAAAATCCAATGTTGGGGGCATCTCTGCCATTACTGATGGGAAATATGGCACATTCTCACATACATAGCTACATGTGAAGGAACCTAGTTCCAGACACAAAACCCTTCATCGTCTCACGTCCTGAGGGGAAGTCTAGCCTCTATTCTGTAATTCATTTCTTCTCATTAGATTCCAGCAATTTTGCACTAAAAGGCTGCCTCATACAAAGAAAACTCCAGATGTGTAACTACCGAGACTATGAGAAAATGTGCTTTTTTACTCCACCAATGTACACCATCAAAGTACACACCTTGCACTGCAACATCACTACACAAAATTTTATTTATTTATTTATTTATTTATTTTTAATCCTCACCGGAGGATATTTTTCTATTTATCTTCAGACAGAGTGGGAGGGAGGAAGAGAGAAAAACATCGACATGAGAGGGACATTGGTTTGTTGCCTCCCACATGACTCCGACCACGGCCAGGGACAAACCGCAAGGAAGGTACGTGCCTGTGACCAGAACAGAATCAAGCCTGTGACCCATTGGTCCACCACTCGACGCTCTAACCACTGAACCAAACTGGCCACAGTGCGAAGGTTTATTTATTTATTTATTTATTTATTTATTTATTTATTTATTTTTCTTTATTGATTTTAGAGAGAGAGGAAGGGAGAGGGACATCCATGAGAGAGAATATCGATTGGCCGCCTCTTGCACGCCCCACACTGGGGATTTAGCCACAATCTGGTCATGGGTCCATGCTCAACCAGTGAGCCACACCGGCCAGGCAATTTTAAAAACAACCAGGATTGCCCGGCAGGTGTGGCTCAGTGGTTGAGCATCAACTCATGCACCAAGAGGTCACTGGTTCGATTCCTGGTCGGGGCACGTGCCCAGGTTGTGCGCAGGATCGCCAGTGGGGGGCATGCAGGAGGTGGCCAATCGGCGTTCTCTTTCATCGATGTTTCTATCTCTCCCTCTTCTTTCTCTCTCAAATCCATAACAAAAAAAGAATTAAGAAAAAATAAAAAATAAAAACCAGAATTATCGTCAGCCTCAGCCTCCACTGAACTTCGCCAAGCCTCCTAAATTGTATTTTTGCCATTCACCCAGGCACCACATGTCGGAATAGTCAAGACATCCCTTTTGCCTTTCACCATTTTCCTCAACAGACCAGGTCCTCCTGCTCTTAGACTTTGGATTATCACCCATCTCTACAAAGTCAAGTGTTCTCAACACGAAATCCAGGGGTAAACTGTGGAAGGTTCAAGAGTTTCCTAAAATAATTACAAAATCCGGTGTCGCTGAGCTTTTTCTCAGAAGACACATACCTTCAATCATATTCTGAAAGGGTTTCATGACCACACAAAAGGCGACCGGGTCAAGTATATTTCACGCATCTATCTTCATAAGGGATCTGCCTTTTCAATCAAACGTGACCAGCTGTCTAGACATTCTTCCATCACCCACTTCACATTCACACACAAGGTATAAAACCTTAAACCATCTTCCCAAGAGTCCGGAACTCAGCAGAGGAAAAAACATAAAAACACTAGGAATACTTTTAGCAACAGAGAGAAAACACAAACTCTAGTGGCGTTTTTTTCTTTTTCTTTCTCCCTAAAATCCCTCCTCCCTGTCACGCTCCCTTTCTCCTGGGCGGTAGGTTCCAGCCGACCCTCCCAGGGGCTTCCCACAACACCCGTGCCTGTGCCAGAGCTCGGACTCAAGGCAGGAAAAGCACCCTCCGGGCCAGGAAAGGAGTCTCAGACTCCATGCTAACAGCGAATTTGGAAGGCCCAGAGCATCAGTGGTATGAGCAACAGCTCGCACCTCCTGCTTCAGTTGCGGGCAGAGGCACCGGGACCCCGTTCCAGGTGAAGGCCCAGGGAGGCTCCTCCGCAGACAGAACGAAAAGTAATCCCGGAGGCTCGGCTCCAGGCCGCGCCGAAAAACTTTCCGAACACTTCCACCGCATCGGGCCGGTGACACCTCCTCGGCTTCCCCGCCCTCTGCGCGCCTGTCAGCGCCTGGGCCCGCCGCACGGGGACCGCGCTCTCCTCGGCGGTTAAGCGGCGTCCCCACGGCGCGCACGGCCCTCGCTCTGCCGTCCGACCCATGTGAGACGCTGCCCGGCCCTCGGAACCTCGGACCGCGGCGCCTAGCCGGGCCCAAGCGGCCGCCGCTCTCGGAAGGGTGACAGGCCGGTGCGCCCGAGCTGCCGCGAGCGCACTCACCAGCTGGCTGGTGGTCCTAGCCATGGACCCCGCGTCGGCTCGGCCACCTCTCCGCAGCGCTGCGCGACTCTGCGCCTTTTCAGCGTCCTCCTCCCCGCAGCGGAGCTCCAGCAATGGCCGCCCTCATCCTGCGCCCGCCCCGCCGCTCACCGCCCCCGGCACCGCCCCGCCCCCGTGCGACGCTAGGCGGGACTTCCGCCGAACCGTCGCCGCCGCCCGCACCCATTGGCCTTGCTCGCCGTCGCGCGGCGGCAGCCCTCGTCAGTCCGGTCGGCGCCCCGCAGCCGCATTTCCGGGTTGGGGCCCCACAGGCTGGAGACGTTGGACCCCGCCTAGGGGGGGTGGGGGCGCGACCCTGTGGGAGCCAATCCCAGAGCCGCCGGGCGATGCCCCGCGGTGGCGGGGGCGAGCTGTCATCCCAGGCTCCCAGACCGGGAAAAGGAGGCTCGCTGGGGCCAGGGCCCGCCAAGGTCACACCCGAATAAGAGGTGAGGCTGGGCTCCAGGCCGCCGCTGGCACTAAGAAGCCGGGCTCTGCGTAAACACCGAGAGACGAAACTTTACTAGATACAGAACTAAGAAGTGTTCACGGTAGGAAATTTAGGCTATCAGGTCAAGTCATATTTATACGGCAGAAAACAATCCCATCTCATCTCCGCTAATAGTCCCAGGAACACTTTCAGAACTCGTTTGCCTATAATTTTTTTTGTAGTTGATGATGATGTAAAAATTTTTGGAAGTTGTTATTGTAGATGACGATGTTGGTTTTTTAAATTGCGCTAAAATAGCCCTGGCCAGTTTGGCTCAGCGGTTAGAGCGTTGGCCTGCGGTCCGGAGAGACCCGGGTTCGGTTCCCGCTAAGGGCATGTACTTCAGTTGCAGATTGTCCCTGGCCCTGGTTGGTTGTGAGGGTGGCAGCCACTCGATGTGTCCCTTCACGTCGATGTTTCTCTCTCTCTCTCCCTTCCTCTCTCTCCCTCCCACTCTATCTGTACAAAAAAAATGGAAAAATATCCTCGGGTGAGGATTAAAAAAATAATAATAATAAATTGTGCTAAAATATAAAATTTACCACATTAACTATTTTAGTGTTCACTCAGTGGCATTAAGTACATTCACATTGTGTGATATTTTAAACAAAGCTACCTGAAGCTTTGCATTTTAAAAAATATGTTTTTATTGATTTTAGAGAGGAAGGGAGAGGGAGAGAGGGAGAAACTTGGATGAGCGAGAATCATTGATTGGTTGCCTCCTGCTTGCCCTGAACAGGGGATGTAGCCGGCAACCTGGCATGTGCCCTGACAGGGAATGGAACCCATGACCTCTAGGTGCATGGGACAAAGCTCAACCAACTGAGTCACACCAGCCACGGTGAAGGTTTGAATATTTTTGTTGTTGTTAATCCTTACCTGTGGATATTTTTCCATTGCTTTTTAGATAGAGTGGAAGGGAGGGAAGGGAAGAGAGAGACACATTGATTGGTTGCCTCCCACAACAGCCCTGACATGTCCAGGGGTGGAACCTGCAACCCAGGTACCCTTGACCCATAATCAAACCCACAACCCTTGGGTCCAAGGGCTGATGCTGTAACTGCTAAGCCAAACCCATCAGGGCAGTTTGCCTATTTTCAAATAACTTTTTTTTTTCTATTTTCAAAAGATGTATGTTGTGTTTTTTTTTCCAATAACACTTTAGACAATACAGAAGTAACAATAAAATAACTGAACTCTTAATTCACTCTAGCCAGACTTATAGCAATAGCCCCACTAACATTTACTCAGCACTTAGTAAGGAATTCACATGTGTAATCTCATTTACTCTAAATAAACATCTAGCTTTTGTTGCCCAACTTTTCAGATGAGGGGGCTGAGGCACAGCACAGTGCTGTAACCTGCCCTAGGTCGTGTAGTGCCAGAACCAAGATCTTTTTTTTTTTTTTTTATCCTCACACAAGGACATTCTTCCTTTTTTTTTGTTCAGATAGAGTGGGGAGGGAAGGAGAGAAGAACATCAATGTGAAAGGGACACATCAAGTGGTTGCCATCTGCATGACCCAATCAGGGCTGGGGACAAACTGCAACCAAGGTACATGCCCTTAGCAGACCGAACCCGGGTCTCTCTGGACCGCAGGCCAATGCTCTACCGCTGAGCCAAACCGGCCAGGGCGTAATCTTTTTTTTTTCTTCCTCACCCAAGGACATTTTTGCATTTATCTTCAGATAGAACGGGAGGCAGAGAAGAGGGGAGAGAGAGAGAAACATCAATGTGAGAGACACATTGAGTGGTTACCACTCACACAACCCCAACCGGGGCCGGGGGCAAACTGCAACCGAGGTACATGCCCTTAGCAGGAACTGAACCCGGGCCTCTCTGGTCCGTGGGCCAACACTCTAACCGCTGAGTTAGACTGGCCAGGTCTTGGGCACCTTTTTAAAATAGTGAGACAGACCCATGTGTCCCTAATAGGAAAGCCTTCTACTTCATGTTCAACTAAAAAATATAGTGAATAGAGTAGCTTTATCAAAAATACAGTGTCGCCCTGGCCGGTTTGGCTCAGCGGTTAGAGCGTCGGCCTGCGGTCCTGAGAGACCCGGGTTCGGTTCCCGCTAAGGGCGCGTACCTCGGTTGCAGTTTGTCCCCGGCCCTGGTCGGTTGTGTGGGTGGCAGCCACTCGATGTGTTCCTTTCACATCGATGTTTCTCTCTCTCTCTCTGTTCCTCTCTCTCCCTCCCACTCTACCTGAAAAAAAGTGGAAAAATGTCCTCGGGTGAGGATAAAAAAAAAAAAAAAAAATACAGTGTCAGGCCCTGCCCAATTTGGCTCAATGGTAGAACATCCGCTTGCGGACCAATGACCCCCAGGTTCAATTCCAGCCAAGGGCACGTACCTCCGTTGCAGCTTTGTCCCAGACCCTGGTCGGGGTTGTGCAGGAGGCAACCAGTTCATGTGTCCCAATCAGTTCATGTGTCCCTCTCACGTCAATGTTTCTCTCTCCCTCTCTCTTTATCTTAAGATAAACAGAAAAATACCCTCTGGTGAGGATTTAAAAAAAAAAAAAAAGCAATGTCAGCCCTGGCTGGTTTGGCTCGGTGGTTAGAATGTTGGTCTGCAGACCAAAGAGTCGCAGGTTTGATTCTGGTCAAGAGCACATAACCTTGGTTGTGATTCGATCTCTGGTCCGGGTGGGGGTCGTAAGGAAGTAAACCAGTCGATGTGTTTCTCACACTGATGTTCTTTCTCTCTCTTTCTCCCCTGCACTCTATCTGAAAAAGCAATGGGAAAATATCCTGGGGTGAGGATTAAAAAAAAAAAAAAAAAAAGTAAAGTCAGCCCAGCCAGTGTGGCTCAGTGGATCGAGTGTCGTCCATGGACCGAGAGAGAGGTCCTGGTTCGATTCCTGGTCAGGGCACTTGCCCATGTTTCGGGCTCGATCCCCAATCCCAAGTAGGGGGTGTGTAGGAGGCAGCCAATAGATGTTTCTCTCTGTCCCTTCCTAATTAAAAAAAAAAAAAAAATGCAATGTCAGTAACAGCACCAGGCTATTAATGGTAGGGTAGTTTTGAGGCAGGCAAGGTAGAGGGGAGAAAGGTTGCAGGTGCTGGAGGAGTCTTAGGGGTGTGATGGGGGCCAAGATGCAGTGAGATGGGAAGCCAGGACTTCCATAGGGGCGATAGGAGTGGGGGTTGGCTGTCTTTGTGGGGCAGGAAGGTGTGGAAAGGGAGAGAGGCTGGCAGGTTGGAGCAGAGCCTGGTCTAGAGTACTGTGAGGGACAATGGGCTTTGGTCTTCCCAGGACCCTTACTCTGCCTTCTGGGGCTCCTGGCTTCCAGTCTGCCTTTTGCTGGTTCAGAGAGCTAGCTTGCCCCTACTGCTTTGCCATGGCACATGCCTCCTTTTGGGGATCTGGATTGGCTCTATAGAGCACACCCCTCACGAAAAAGCCCCTTCCATGGTGAGTCCCAGTGCACTGCATATCATCTTGAATCTGCGTATCCCATAGACCAGATACCCCTGGGCGCTCCCAATATAGGGGGCAGCAGAACAGGTTGGACTAAATTTCTTGGTGTCTAAAGGGCACCAGGTGTTAGACTAGGGGAGTCACAGTGGACATGGGTTCAGCAACCTGGGTACTGGAGTCCTTTCTAAGAAAGAATTCACAGCTAAGACTCAAACTGTAAGAGTTTAATTAGAAAGTCACAAGAGATAGCCTGGCTGGTGTGGCTCAGTGAACTGAGCATCCTCCCATGGACTGAGAGGTCCTGGTTTGACTCCTAGTGGAGGCACATGCCCAGGTTGCAGGCTCAATCCCCAGTGGGGGACGTGCAGAAGGCAGCTGACTGATGTTTTTCTCCCTCTCCTCCTTCCACTCGCTCTCTAAAAAAATCAATAAAAACATATATAAAAGAAAGTCACCAAGGTAGAAGTGAGCCATAGAATAGGCTCAGGAAATAAGGTACAGAGGCAAAAGAAGGGGCCCCTGGGGTTTAGGAGAAAGAGGCAAGGAAAACAGGTCTGGGGGAAGGGAGTGAGGAAAGGCTCAGGCATGACACATAGAACTGCGGTGGGTCCTTAGTCCTGAAGGATTTTATATGGAGGTCTCAGGGAAGGATCTCAATAGAATATTCATCAGCTTTCCAAGTGTGTCTCCTCAAAGTGAAGACCACTGTTTGGTCAGCGCCAGTGCAGAGGATCAGTCATCAAAGCTGGTTCTGATGTCAGCCATGGAATTGCCCCGCCTAGCCTTGCTGCTTCTTTGGGTCTGGAGCTGAAACCCAGCTGAGACCTAGATAACATCTACAGGGGTTAATGCTTAAGGGGGTAGTTCTGCATGGGCTAGTAGTTCTGCAGGTTGCTAGGCACCTGGTGTGCTCTGCTCTGGTGAACCTCTGCCTCTGGCCCATCTTCCTACCCGGCTCATGCCTAACTGCTTACTTCAGATTCAAATCAGCACACTGGTATCCCTGTCACCCGAGGAGCCTGAGGCTTCAGAAGGACCCCTCCAGCACTGAGTTGGCCCAGACACGCCAAGTGGAAGCTTCTCGGCTCCCACACTTGGAAGTCAGGTGGTCCTTCCTCACAACTGGGAGTATTGAGATGTGGCAGCAACCTGGGCTAAACCAGTCCCTAGGCCAGGCTCTGACCAACACTGGACCCTGGAGTCTTCCCATTCACACATGTTAAACAAGCCAGGGAGATGCTAAGCATACCAGGTCACCTCCCCAGGGATCCCAGCTCAGCCTCTCCTTCTCAGTGAAAGTCACCCCCACTCACTAGTGAGTCAGGCACACACCTAGCATTACCTCCTCTGTCCCTTAGTCCACGCCCATACTAGGGCAAGCCTGTCCCATTTCACTTGTTTCTGGTCCCACTGCCACCCGACAGCCAGCCCTTCGGTCTTCTTGTCACCCCCAGCAACCCAAAGGCACACCTAAAATGGCAACCTCAGACTCAGAAACAAAATATATAGGCAGCTGCCAGGGCTTGGTGAGAGGGAATTCGGATTAGTGTTTAATGAGCACAATTTCCACTTGGGGTGATGAAAATGTTCTGAAGATGGTGGTGGTGATGATTGCACAACAGTGTGAGTGTATTTAATGCCAACCTGTACACTTAAAAATGGTGATTGTTACATGTATTTTACCACAATTTAAAAAAAAAAGAGGCCCTGGCCGGTTTTGCTCAGCGGTTAGAGCGTCGGCCTGCGGTCTAGAGAGACCTGGGTTTGGTTCCCGCTAGGGGTGCGTACCTAGGTTGCAGTTTGTCCCCGGCCCTGGTTGGGTCGTGTGGGTGGTGGCCACTTGGTGTGTCCCTTTCACGTCAATGTTTCTCTCTCTCTCTCTCTCTTCCTCTCTCTCCCTCTCACTCTGTCTGAACAAAAAATGGAAAAATGTCCTCGGGTGAGGATTAAAAAAAAAAAGAGCCCTGGCCGGTTTGGCTCAGCAGTTGGAGAGTAGGCCTGCGGTCCAGAGAGACCCGGGTTCGGTTCCCGCTGAGGGCATGTACCTCGGTTGCAGTTTGTCCCTGGCCCTGGTTGGTCGTGCGGGTGGCGGCCACTCGGTGTGCCCCTTTCACGTCGATGTTTCTCTCTCTCTTCCTCTCTCTCCCTCCCACTCTATCTGAACAAAAAGATGGAGAAATATCCTCGGGTGAGGATAAAAAAAAAAAAAGATACTCTAGCCATTGCCCCCACACTTCAAATAAAATCAGAACTCCCACTGCAGCTGCAAGGCCCAGCTCTGGTCCCCCATCCCTGGACCACTCTCTAGTCCCAGTGGTAATTAGTTCTGTTCCTTCAACACACTAAGCCTGTGTGTCAGTGGCCTCTGAGGGGCAGTTCCCTTTGCCTGAAGTGCTCTTTCTTCCGAGCCAGTGTTGGCTCCTGTCATCTCTGGTGTCACCTGGCTGGCCACCAGTCCCCCCATAATTCTCCACCCAGAGAGGCCTTGGTTAGAGGTCTAAGGGAAGTTCCCAGGGTACGCCAGGCTGGGCCAAATGCTGGTGCTGATACTCAACAGCTCTCAGACTCGGCACCATAGATGACAAACAGAACACTTCTTTGGATTTTCGGCAGGCAAATGGAGCAAGTGATTACCCATAGATCACAAGGATGAGGCCCAGTACCAGGAGTGCTGACAACTGCTGCTCAGCTTCTGGCTTATCAGTTAAGCTCATCTACTTTCTCCCAGGGACCTTTGCCAGGGCTGAGGAGAATCAGAAGGTGGGGCACAGGACACTGATATCCACCAACACCAGACAGGGTTACCCACAGCTGTGCAAACACCAGAGTACAGGACGGCTCATCCCGCCCTCCTAGGAGTTGGGTCAGGAGATGAGGTTGTTCAGAAAAGATGCCCAAAGAGCCCTGGCCGGTTTGGCTCAGCAGTTGGAGCGTCGGCCTGAAGACTACAGCGTCCCAGGTTTGGTTCCCGCTAGGGGCACGTATCAAAAAACAAAACAAACAAAAAAGATGCCCAAAGAATCAGACTGGATGATCCTGAGGGCTCATGAAGGTGGGACGAGGGCTGGTCCGGTCAGGCAGGCCAGGGAGCACTGGCTATGGTCAGCTCAGGGGCCCTTCAACCACTGCTTCCTGCAATCAGAGATGGGCAACCTGGGGTACCGAGGCCAGTGTGGATTCCTCTGAAGGTTGGAGAGGAGTGCTGGGTTATGTGCCCAAGCCCTGCACAACTCAGGTGTAGAAAACAAGACCACAGGACACCCACACATACTAGCCTCCCAAACTTCTGTAGTGCCCACCTGAGGCCCTTCCCTGCCCATCTCTTAATTTGTCTCCAAGATCAATGCTCTCCTGTTTAAAATTCCAAGAAGTACCCTTTCCCTCAGCCCCCACAACAAGCAAACTTCTGAAGTTGTCTATATCCACAGTCCCCAAGCCCCTTCCTGCCAACTTTCAGCTTTCAAACCTATAGCCCATGGCTTTCCCCATCCTTCCCTCCATTAATTTCCAAATGACACATCTGTCTGCAGGCCTCAGACACATCCTTCTAACAGAAAGGGGCCCTGTTGTCACCTCCACTGAACCCCACAAAGCCTCCTCAAAATGCTGGGCTGAGGTGGAGTCCAGCCACTCCCAACCCTAAGCCACAACCCCAACCCCCCACCTCCAGGAGAGCCACCAGGGTGACGGAAAACAGCAAGAAGCCTCCTTTGAAGCAAAACTCAGAGACCAGGCAACTCCCTGTGGGGTACACAGTTTATCCAAGCCAGCTGCCTCCAGGGCCATGGCCATTCACCTGGGGCAGGGTTCCCACTCACTCCCCGGAGACCAGCTCCTCGACAGCCCAGTACTGACAATGTCCAGCTGAGGCTGGGTGTCCTTTTCAGCTGTGGTCCTAGGTCACTGCCTGGCTTCCTCCGCCTGCCACACCAACTCGCCCGAGATGTAGGTGGCCTGAATGTGCAGGGAGTCATCGAGCATCACGAAGTCTGGGTCAAAGGTAAGCTGTGAGAAGGAGGCAGTGGCAGGCCTGCCCCCCTACCCCCAGCCCAAGGCTGGTGGGGAAACCAAGGCCTGGGATACAACTTGTGTAGGATGCCCCGACCCAGCACAGACTGACTGAGGCCCTGGAACCAAGACTCCTGGGAGTAGGGGAACAAGGGAGAAAGATCCCAGCAGCCCTTTGCTTGACCTTGTCTCAGATGCCAGAAAGCCTGGTCTGATGGGAAACTGGGGCCAGACCAAGGCTGGCGGCTGGGTAAGGCTGCCTGGATGTAGGAAAGATCCCACCCTTCTGCCCACCCTGTCCTGTCCCAGGCCTCCCAAGAACTCCTGAGTCTTCATGTTGCCCAGGCCTCCCCATATCAGACCTGCATCAGCCCCAAAGTCCAGGGTTCCCTTGCGTTTCTCCAGTCCCAGCAGCTGGGCGGGATGCAGTGACGCAGCCTCCAGGGCCGATTCCACACTGCAGCCTGCTCAGGAGACACAGCTGGGTGACCATCCACACCCCCAGCTGGCTCTGCTGGCGCCCTCCTAACCCCGCCCCCACAGCCCTGGAGCTCCAAGTCCTAGTGATAGGGTAGGGGGGACACATGCCAGGACTCTGCAGCAGGTTGACAAAGTCCCCCAGTCCCATCATTTCCAGCCACTCACCCACCCCAGCCCAGCAGGGACCCTCTGGACCCAAATGCTCATGGGCCCCTCCTCTTCCTGGGTCCCAGGGAGAACACCCCACAAGAAAGCAGTATGTTGGGCAACTATGAGGCCGCTGGAGACCTGGTGCTCTGCCCCTGTCCCCCACCAAGAAGTCAAATAACCAAACCCAATTCCCTCCATCCCCTGCATCATCCCCCAGGCCAGACCACAGCTATTTCCTGCCTCCCAGCCTGTCTCCTTGCTGCTCTAAACAAGCACCTTGGACCCAGGTGACTCTTACCCCGCAGCATGACACTCTACCTGGGTGCTGCAAAAAGCCCCATGGGGCCTGGCCAACCGCAGCCTCTGCCAGACGACAACTGTCCACACCCTCTACATCATGTGGCCTGACCCTGGAGACTGGATTGCTGCTCTGGCCCTTCACCTCATCACAGTTCTCTACCTGACAAGTCCTGCCATCCCATAGCACCCTCCCCAAGCCAAGCCCCCACCCTCATGTGGAGTAAAGACCCTTCTCTTGGGTGCCGTGGCTTGGATGCTTGCCCTGGGTTCCAGCCATTTGCTTGCTTGTCCTCTCTCCTGCTGTGACCTCCCTACGGATGGCACCTTGGCCACATTACTAGTGCCCGCCCCTAAGGAACCCCACTAGACATGACAGATAAGGGATATCCAGCTTCTCTCAGATGCAACCTCTGCCCCCAACATACACACACACACACACACACACACACACACACACACCAGCCTCACTGACCTGTGGCCTGCAGGAAATGCCGAACGCAGACGTCCATCGGGGTTATGCTGCCGCTCAGTGTCTTGGTGCCTTGAGAGCAGAGAGGGCAGGCTCTGGTGGGGGGGGGAGGGGCAAGGGCAGGGGCCACCAGGCACACTGGATGGGGTGAGGGCTGGCAGAAGACATCTAGGTTCTTGCATCCCACCAGAGGGACTAAGGGGCTCTTCTAATGTGGGTGGCCAGTGGGGACAAGGGTCACTCACCTGCCACGTAGGCCGTCAGCCCATCTACCTCTACTTCCTGCTGCCCCAGCGTGTGACGGCCATTGCCCAAGCCCAGGGCAGGAATAGCATCGGTGACCAACACCAGCCCTGGAGATGAAAAGGCCTCAGGACCTGCCCCACCTGGTCCTCCTACCTACCCTCACCCTTCCAGGCTACTCACCCTGGGGATGGGCCCGGTGGGCAATACGCAGGGCAGCAGGGTTGGTGTGCATGCCATCAGAGATCATTCCATAGAAGATTTGGCGGCCTGGGGGCAGCCGGTCACTGGTCAAGAGCCCCACAATGCCTGGGTCACGGTGGTGGAACTGGGCAGAGCCAGGAAGGAGAAAGCTGAGCCACACCAGGAGCCCCCAAGCCTGCCAACCTGGGAGCTGGGGCAGCACTCACAGGCAGCATGGCGTTGAAGAGGTGGGTAATGAACGTAGCCCCGCTCTGCACGGCTTCTTCCGCAGCCTGTAGGTCAGCCACAGAGTGCCCTGCAGAGGAACCTGGATTCAGATTCTGCAACGAGTCCAGGACCCCTAGATGGGCCTGCCCCCTCAGGTGGGGACATACCCCCTCACCTAGGGATACACAGATGCCACGAGCCGTCAGTGCCTGGATCACCTCATGGCTACGGCCCAGTTCAGGAGCCAGTGTCACAATGCGAACGTTGTCCAGGGGCCCATAGGTGGCCAGAACATCGTGGAAGGCGTTGGCCTCAAAAGAGCGCAGGTGGGCCTCAGGGTGTGCACCCCGCTTCTCCCGGCTGATAAATGGACCCTCCAGGTGCACACCTGGTAGGAGGGGAGCGGATGGCTCCAGCAGGCCTCCTACCCTGCAGCACCCCCCCCAGCCCCTCTCACCTGCCCCGCCCCCCACCCCATTTGGGCATCTGGAAGTGTAGGGGCTGCCAACAGGTCCCAAAGTATCCTCCCAGGGTGGGGGCAAGAAGAGGGGTCAGCCACTCACCGAGGACCCCTGCCCCATGGGGGCCACCACTCTTCACGGGGATCTGAGGAAGGACCTGGGGGGAACCAGCTGTTAAAGCCCTGCCCCCCATGGCCCAGCACCCAGAGGTTACAGCCCAGCCAAAGTCATAGTTTGGAGCCTAGCCTAGTGCCCACTGGCCTTCCATCAGGTATCAGAAAATGGTTGAAGGCCCCCAACCATGGTCAGGGAAAGCACGGCACTCAGAACCAGCAGGACACAAGGTCAGCAGCACAAAGAAATGACAGGCCCTGGGATATGAGGTCTGCCTGTAAGGACCAGGAGGCAAGAATAGTCCCCAGGCAGACGTCAGGTGCATGGACATTGAGGGCAACTCCACCTGCCCTGGCCCAAGTCCATGCAGCATGCCCCAAGAGTCTGAGCCCAGGCAGAGTGATGTGCCTGGCCGCCCTGAGGGCCAGAGGCAGGAGTACGTGCAACCCAGGCAAAGCAAGGGGCAGAAGCAGGGTCTCAGGCGCTGATGCTGTGCCTGAAGCTGGACACAGTCGGGAGGGTCACTTGTGTGTGACAGGTGCTCACACAATATAGTATCATGTTGGTGGGCAGCCAGGCAGGCATCCCCGTTCACATCTCCCTCCTTCAAGGTGAGGAAGGACATGGAAGTGGGAGCCCACAGGATACTGTAGAGTCCCTGAGTCCCTAGGGTGAGCCTGGGACAGAAGTATAGAGATTTTTTTTTTAAATCCTCACCAGAGGATACTTTTCCATTTATCTTCAAACAGAGTGGGGGGGGGGGGGAGTGGGGAGAGAGAGAGAGAAAAAAAAACATCGATGTGAGAGAGATACATCGATTGGTTGCCTCCCGAACAACCCTGACCAGGGCTGGGGACGTAACCACAACCAAGGTACTTGGCCCTTGACCAGAACTGAACCCACAACTCTTTGGTCTGAGGGCCGATGCCCTAACCACTGAGCTAAGCCAGCCAGGGATGAAATAACAGAGATTTTTAAAGAGGCTTGAACCCAGTCCAGCCGGTGTTGCTCAGTGGTTGACCATCATCCCATGGACTGAGAGGTCCCAGTTCAATTCCAGGTCAGGGCACATGCCCAGATTGTGGGCTGGATCCCCAGTAGGGGGTGTGTAGGAGGCAGCCGATAGATGTTTCTATCTCTTTCCCTCTCCTTCTATTTTTTTTTTTTTTTTTTTATCCTCACCCGAGGACATTTTTCCATTTTTTGTACAGATAGAGTGGGAGGGAGAGAGAGGAAGAGAGAGAGGGAAACATCGATGTGAAAGGGATACATTGAGTGGCTGCCACCCGCACGACCAACCAGGGCCAGGGACAAACTGCAACCGAGGTACATGCCCTTAGCGGGAACCGAACCCGGGTCTCTCCGGACCGCAGGCGGACGCTCTAACCGCTGAGCCAAACCAGCCAGGGCTCCCTCTCCTTCTAAAAATCAATAAAAACAAACTTCCGGTCAAGATAGCGTATCGTGTCCTCCCACTACCACATCAAAGTTACAACTAATCTACAGAACAACCATCATTCAAAACCACCTGAAATCAAGCTGAATGGAAGTCCTACAACTAAGGAATTAAAGCAGCAGCCATATTGAGATGGTAGGAGGGGCAAAGGCGGAGGGGCTGGTCCCACACCCACGTGTGGCGGATAAAAATCAGGAGGATACCTGGCTGGGAAGGTCCTCCCTGAGGACTGAGAGGTCCCCGTCCCACACCAGGAGCCCCGCTCAGGGTTCCAGCGCCAGGAAGAGAAGTCCCCATTACTTCTTGCTGGAAAAATCAGCAGGAACTAAGGCTCAGGGAGGCTGAGGTGGCTGGAGCCCCAGGCAGCTCCTCTTAAAGGGCCCGTGCATGGACTTATTGGACTCACTCCCTCTAAGCTTGGAGGGGAGGCAGCTCAAGGGGTGCCAGAGACATACAGGGAGGAACTGAGCTGTTCGGCATTAGAATGAGGGATGGAGAGGGGGTTTCTCCAGGAGAAACTTGTTGCTTGCCCTGCCCTGGTTGATTCCCTGAGGCCCCGCCCCACACAACTTTCAGGCCCACCCAAGCTGTTGTCAGTTGCATAACCATAGGATTGACCTGTCTTGGATCCTGCTTCAGGTTTTCCTAAATTCTTTCAAACAAGCAGCATCTGGTCTCAACTAGCCCCATACCTCTCGTTAAGTAATACACAGAAACAAACACAGGGAGGCGGCCAAAATGAGGAGACAAAGAAACAGGTCCCAAATGAAAGAACAGAAAAAAATCTCCAGGAAAAGAACTAAGAGAAATGGAGATAAGCAACCTAACAGATGCTGAGTTCAAAATACTGTTTATAAGGATGCTCAATTAACTTAGTGAGAACCTCAGCGAACTTAGTGAGGGCCTCAAGAGCATAAAAAAGGACCAGTCAGAAATGAAGGAGGCACTAACTGAAATAAAGAATAATTTACACAGCCCTGGCCAGTTTGGTTCAGCAGTTAGAGCGTCAGCCTGCGGTCCAGAAAGACCCGGGTTCGGTTCCCGCTAGGGGCGCGTACCTCGGTTGCAGTTTGTCCCCAGCCCTGGTTGGTCGTGCGGGTAGCAGCCACTCGATGTGTCCCTTTCGCGTTGATGTTTTTCTCTCTCTCTCTCTCCCTCTCCCTCCCTTCCACTCTATCTGAACAAAAAATGGAAAAATGTCCTCGGGTGAGGATAAAAAAAAAATAATAATAATTTACACAGATTCAATAGTAAAGTAGGTAAAGCCAAGAAGCAAACCATCGATTTGGAATATAAGGAAGCAAAAAACACCCAATCAGAACAGCAAAAAGAAAAAAGAATCCAAAAAAATGAGGATAGTGTAAGGAACCTCTGGGACAACTTCAAGCATACCAACATTCGCATCTTGGGGGTGCCAGAAGGAGAAGAGAGAGAACAAGAAATCGAAAACCTGTTTGAAACAATAATGGCAGAAAACTTCCTGAATATGGTAAAGGAAACAGACATACAAGTCCAGGAAGCACAGAGAGTCCCAAATAAGATGAACCCCAAGAGGCCCACACCAAGACACATCATCATCAAAATGCAAAAGGTTCAAGACAAAGAGAGAATCTTAAAAGCAGCAAGAGAAAAGCAGTTACCTACAAGGGCGTTCCCATAAGACTGTCAGCTATTTCTCAAAAGAAACTTTGCAGGCCAGAAGGGAGTGGCAAGAAATATTCAGAGTGATGAAAAGCAAGAACCTACAACCAAGATTACTCTATCCTGTGAGGCTGTCATTTAGAATCGATGGCCATATAAAGACTTTCCCAGACAAGAAAAAGTTAAAGGAGTTCACCACCACCAAACCGTTATTATATGAAATGTTGAAGGATTTTTTTTGAAGAAAAAGGTAAAATATATGAACAAACAAAATGGCAATGAATACATATCTATCGACAATGGAATCTACAAACAAAATGAACAGGCAGAACAGAAACATTCTCATAGATACAGAGAACATTTTGTTGGTTGCCAGATGAGAGGGGTGTTGGGAAAATGGGTGAAAAAGGTGAAGGGATTAAGAAGAACAAATTGGTTGCTAGACTGACAAACCTCAAAGAGAAGGGGGTGAAGGGGTGGGAAGAAATAAACCAAAGAACTTATATGCATAACCAATGGACACAGACAACAGTGTGGGAAAAGGCAGGAGGGGGGTGGGAGTGGGGAGGAGAGGATCAATGGGGGAAAAAATGAGGAACATCTGTAATACATTCAACAATAAAGATAAAAAAGAAAGAAAAAATAATAAAAATCAATAAAAACATATTTAAAAAGAAAAAAAAGAGGCTTGAACCCAGTATGACAGAGAGGACAGGGTAAGGACAGGCTGACTTGGGAGCCCAACGAGTAGGTGCTGGGCAGATGTGGGCAGCCATGCAGTGGGGAAAGGGAGGAAACAAGCCCCCAAAGCCCCTATCAGCTCAGGCCCTGGAAACACCTGGTGCCTTGAGAAGCGGAAGGACCAACAGTAGGATCCTAGTTAAAGAGCAGCTGGATCCCCGAGTGTACCCTGCCAAGTGCCTGGAGAAGTAAACCAGACAGGTAGATAGAAGCAAAAATATGGGGCAATTAAATGAAAATTTCCATATATATATGTTTAATTGATTTTAGAGCGAGGAAGGGAGAGAGAGATGCCCTGCCGGTGTGGCTCAGTGGACTGAGCATCGTCCCATGGACTGAAAGGTCCAGTTCGATTCCTGGTCAGGGTATCCGGCTCAATCCCCAGTAGGGGGTGTGCAGGAGGCAGCTGATCGATGTTTCTCTCTCACATCGATATTTCTATCTCTCTCTCCTTTACTCTCTCTAAAAAAAAAAAAAAGATTGATCTTTAAAAAATAATAATAAAATAAAAAAATCAGTAAAAACAGCCCAGTTGGTATGGCTCAGTGGCTTGAGCGTGGACCCATGGACTGAGAAGTCCTGGTTTGATTCCCGGTCGGGGCATATGCCCAGGTTGCAGGCTCAGTCCCCGATGGGGTGTGTGCAGGAGGCGACTGATCGATGTCTCTCACATCAATGTTTCTCTCTCAATTAAAAAAAATCAATAAAAACATATTTAAGAGAGAATGAGGAAACATCAACTTGTTGATCCACTTATTTATGCATTCATTGGCTCATTCACATTATGTGCCCTGACCAGGGACTGAACCTGAAACTTTGGCACATATCCGGACAATGCTTTCACCAACTGAGTTACCCAGCCAGGGCCTGAAGTTTACATTTTTAATGCTCCCTGAATGTCACCAGTCAGGACTGTTCCCTCTGACCAGAACAAGACTATTCTCTGGGGATTCAACTAGCCCAGGAGAAAGGACTAAGGGATCTGAACCTAAGGATGCCCCAAGGAACACCCCAGGCTGGGTGATCCTGGTGGCTGGCTGAGAATGTTCTCAATCAGAGCAGATGACCAAGGCCTTCCAAGCTTGGGAAAGCCTCTGAAAGGACACACAGAAAATTAACAAATGACAGGACAGAACTGGCCCAGGAGCAGAAACCCGAGGAGAGGAGAACATGTCAGCAAAGGTCTCATACCCATTAAAGAAGAA